ACAGATTCCGAATCATGCACCATGCACAGTTTCAAGCCCCGGATTTAATCTTCAGGGTAAAACTTGACTGGTGTTATTACCTTTAGCAATTTGTTTTCTTCCCAGCTATCACCTGGGAGGGCAAGTTCCCGCCTCTGCTTTCTGCGTGAGAAGAACTAAATGAACAAGAGAAAAGAAGACATCAAGACAGGATGATGTTATGAAACAGATTCAATGTTATGAAAATAAGATCTTTTGTCATATTCTCAACAATCTTCCGGAAAATAGAATGTTTTGATTATTATAAAATCTTAACCTAATCACTGCCTGCATATGACAGGTTTTATATAAAGCCATATGGATGCGCTGATGTGAAAGAAAAATAGATGTTTTAGGACATCAGTCGCCTTGATAAATGCAAGTTGTTATTAAAATGCCAAGGCCAGGTCTATTAACCCTAGAGCACTGTACTGCAAGATGAATGGTGGTATCAAGGAAAAAAAAATGCGTATTTGTTTTCATCAGAAAAGAAGTCCCATTTATTACTTGCCATTAAAGCTCTTGGTGGTTAATTTCTTGAGCATTTTCCTTTAACTATGCATATGAGAATCAGGAAGTGTGTTCTTTTTACTTATCTGAATCCAGGGAGAGTTGAAGTTCCATGTTGTTCAAAGCTATGTGCCATCCAGAATAAAGGACCCCAGGAAGTTTTTTCTTCAAGTTCTAGGACAAGTCTAGTTCTTGAGGTTGTCTGCCTGCGTTGGGTGGCTGCCGCCCATCAGGGCATGCTGGGAGAGGCTGCAAGGAGGATGTTCCATGGGTTAAAGGGAGCTCCTCTCCTCCCCCTCCCGCCCCCGACTCTGGCCAAGGAACCAGCGGACAGACACAGACAGTGGGATCCTAGGAAGAAAACACAGAAAGGTCAGCTCTTGTCATTCTGGTTAGAAAAGACTCCACTCCCTGCTAGGGCCCTGGTCTGGGTAGAGGGGAGGACTCCATCGCCTCTGCTGCTTAGATTTCACTCTTAATTTGGATATTGACATTTTTGCTTTGAAAGCACACTGCGTATGGAAAAAGAGAAAAAACTTTCATAATCGTGAAGTTGAGTTATTATTTTGGCTGTAGCTTATGAAGAAGGAGTTAGTATTTTCTAATTCTAGACTGTGTGGTTTGCTTCAGCTTTTCTCCTTCCCTGCACTCTTTGGTGCCCGGGGTTCTTTTAAAGCAAGTCGAACAATGACAAGGTTTGAGGACTTTCCCACAAGCCAGACCATCCTTTTGCGAAGACCAGGGACAGCAAGGCTAGATGAATGGAGTGCCGCAGGATGAGGTGCCGGCCTCAGCCTGCTTGGCCAGAGCCGGATCTCCTCAATGAGGAGGTCAGGAGTGTCACTGATACATCCCATTACCGCAGAAAACGCATTCACAGAGCTGATGCGTTCACGCATGGTACTAAGAAGCAAGACAGCCCCCAGCAGCTGAGGACGACAGGCCACTAATTCTGAAGCTGTCATCTCTGATCTATGACAGACACACATGCATTTTAAGCCTGTGTGCAGCCCACACAGAGCACATGCATTATATGCACAGATCACATGTAGCTCTCAGACATACACAGCACACATGTAGTTTACATACCAATTACCTAGGGATGCCTACATGCATGCTAATATGTATGTCATTCATAGATCACCTGCATTTGTGCATACTAACTACATGGATAGGTCACATACAAATAATACAAAGACAGAGAACCATAGTAAATGTTACTATTTGAATCCCCTCAATCATGAACAGTGGCTGTATTCCTAGCTACTTGAGAGGCTGAGAAGTAGAAGATCATTCTTTAAGGCCAGCTAGAAAAGAAAAGTTCATGAGCTCCCTTCTCAGCCCATTGCTGGGTAACAAGCGGTGTGTGCCTGTTATGCCAGGTAGGTGAAGGGCTGAGATTGGTTGGTGATGGTTCCAAGCCAGCATGGCAGACAAGTCTGTAAGATTCTATTGCCTTGTAGGGAAGCTGAGTACATATGGTGGCCTGAGCCTATGATCTCCAATGATGACGGGAAGTCTAAAGTAGGCAAATCCTGCCTCGGCCATGATCTTATCCTTAAAAGAATTAGCAGTGTAGCTGGGCACCAGTGGCTCACGCCTGTAATCCTAGCTATTCAGGAGGCTGAGATCTTAGGATTGCCATTCAAAGCCAGCCTGGACAGGAAAGTCTGTGAGACTCTTATCTCCAATAATCTGGAACTCTCCAGAAAACCAGAAGTGGCACTGTAGCTCAAGTGGTAGAGTTCTTACCTTGGGCTGAAGAGCTGAGGGACGGTGCCCAGGCCCAGAGTTCTATCCCCATGAACCAGGGATAGAGATAAAGCTCAAAAGAACACCAAATAAGAGGAATAAGACCCTAAGTTCAAACATTAGACTAGCTGAAAAGAAGAAAAAATTATAATATAAAAAACCTCTTGTCTCCATTTCTTGGAGTATATTTCGATAAGCATTATTTTATATGGTTATGTGCACACAGCTATTGAGCCATTGTGATCCTCTCCTAAGAATATCCTCCTTTGGGGGCTGGGAAGGTGGCTCAGTGGTAGAGCTCTTGCCTTGCATGCCTGAGGCCCTGGGTTCGATTCCTTAGCACCACATAAGCAAAAAGAAAAAAGCCTGAAGTGGTGCTGTGGCTCAAGTGGTAGAACGCTAGCCTTGAGCTGAAGAGCTGAGGGACAGTGCCCAGGCCCAGAGTTCAGGCCCCACGACTGGA